AAAAACTCTGCATTAAAGCCACGTTAAAGATTACTGTAATCCTGTACTGCATAACTTGTATATTTTATGGTATGCTTTTTCAGATAAGTAGTAACTTATTAACTGATAATTAACCAGAAAAAAATAAAAACAGGAACAGAAATATTGTGTATCAGCAGGGCCCAGTCTATCATTTATTTTGGAAGATTAAATTATTTAATGTGATTTTTAATTGCACAGACTTATTCTACATTTAATCCTTGTGTTTTTAAAAAGTTAACAGAAAAAATTACTGTTTATTAATGTTAACATTTTAAATTGTCCTACCTAAGCCTTGTTGTTCACATCTTATTGATGTGTATAGGACAAGGAAAGGCAAGTTTCCTCCTTTACTGCTATTATTTGACTTGAGACAGTTTTTATCTATTGGTTGTATTTTCACAATGAAGTTGGGTTGTTTGTTTTTTTAAGTAAAAGCTTAGCATTTATATAATGCAGCCTAAGTAATGGAGAAAATTTAAGACTTCATAATCCATTGCTCCTTCCCTCCACCCCATCACTTTCTTGTGTGCCTGATGTTACATTGGAGGGTAGTATTTTGTTGTATTTTAATGAGGCATAATTGCTTTTAAACAGCAGCTTTTCAGCCTCAAACCCTGATTCAGGCCTCACAGGGAGGATTATTCCTTGTGGTTAAGTGAGCAGCACTCAATTACTCTCTCAGAAAGCATGACTGGAAGTGACTTTTGAACTAATTTATTATTAATAATAATTTTAATTTTCCCCCTAAACTAAGTAAAGACACTGCTCTTTATTGAGGATTACATTTATGCTTTATTTCAAACTTCAGCTGCTTTTGTGGTAACCCTGTTCGAAAGAACGGTAGATCTCCTTCCACCAATGAAGAAAGCATTATTGCTGGAAAAGATTGTCCTCATGTTTTCGCAACCGTAAATAAACAAGTAAGTAACTATTAAGCAAATGCCAAACACAAAAAAAGTTCAACCCATTCCCCGAAAATATTAAGGTTTTAGAAGTTTATCTGAATGCAAAAATGAAAGAACATAATGGAAACTGTGGAATATCATGCAATACCAGATGCCCATTACAGTAAAATGAAAAATATTCCTTCAGCTGCAGGGGCTGACTATCAGTTTGCAAATTCTCAGCAGTCCCAGCATGATTTTCTCAACTGCAATTCAATGTCATTAATCACTGGGGGAGAGAGACTTTACTCAGCCAGTATCCAAGGCTTAAGTTTTTTCTTATCCAGGATTCCTAGAAAAATCAAGAAGAAATATCCATCTATTCTGTTCCAACTTTCCCTTTTTGGCTTTCTTTCTCTCAGACTCTTCCACAGTCCAACTGGCTGCGGCTTTTCCTACCCTGGACTCTAATTCCTCTATTCCCCCACCAAGGGTTCTCAGCGATGGCTGAAAAGCTTCTCTGAGGATCCAACCGCATTTGCCAAAATAAGGAACATCCCCAGACTAAGCCCTAGTCTCTTCCTCTTGTGCCTGACTTTTTCCTACCAGACTGCACACACACTAGGTCTGGAATCAAAGAACTAGACTACAAATATTAGCTATTTTGCTCCAAATTTTCAGTGCTCTATAGTATATTCCTAAGCACTTGGAGACCTAGAATCTTTTTACCAGTCACAGCTCCACATCTTCAGCCATAACCCCTGCACCCTCATGGAGTTTGTTACACAACTGGAGCCCAAGGCTTGAATGGGGGTCCAGAGAAACAAGGTGGTCCTCCCATGAAGCTCCAATTGCGAGATCAAGAGCCTAAATAAAAACGGGATGCAACAGCAAAGTGTAGGACAGAGTGGATGGAAAGACAAAAGTGACAAATTATCACATTACATCAAAACTGTACTATTTAAAGATTTTAAAATCTGGTTTATTTGTTAGACACAAAAATGAACTCTGTAAACACCTTGAGTAGCAAATGAATTGACAAGGGAGGCTTAGGCTGGACATTAGGAAAAACTTCCTAACTGTCAGGATGGTTAAGCACTGGAATAAATTTCCCAGGGAAGTTGTGGAGTCTCCATCATTGTCTAACCTACTCTTAAAAATCTCCAAACATCTGTAAGAAATGGTCTAGATAATACTTAGTCCTGCCACAAGTGCAGGGGACTGGACTAGATAACTTTCGAGGTCCCTCCCAGTTCTATGATTCTATGAAGATTTAATCAGGAGGAAGGAGAATAAGAGGAACAAGATTACTGGAACACAGAGCCCACTGGGTGTCTATGGAATACTATCTGAATAAGTAGCAGGCTGAGAAACAGACAGGAAGAAGAAAGTCTCTGAGAAAATGAAAGATATATTTTATTCACTGAACTAAAACAAAAGTGCTCTTCCCTTCCTGAATGTTGTAGAGTGTGGTATGTTATGCAAACTGTTTCATTTGTTTTAATATGCTATTCTCTCTCTCTCTGGCTTTAATAAGGCTATGTAAGTCTTAGACCATTGCTTGGGAGATTTTTCATAGGCCATCCCAAAATAAGGTAACAACCCTGATTTGGAAGTCTTGCTCAAAAGGACACAGACCAAGGGTTCCTCTTTTCATAAGGTATGTCATGTATGGAGCTGCAGTCATACTAATATTGATCTTGGTTAAGAACCATAGATGAGACACAACTGTAGTGGATGGTAGTGACAGACCTTGGTTATCTGTCGATATATACGTATAGATTTTTAATTAAACCCAAAACCATCATGACTTACGGTATGGGAACAGCAACAAATGAGGGGATTTTTGTTTATTTTGTTTTTGGTTGGTTGGCTAGTTGAGGATTTTCCCCCGTCTTTTCTCTCCATCTTCTCCTTCTTTTCTAGACTCTTTAACATAAATAAAACATTATTATGATATTGTTTTACTAACTGAATGTAATTCCCATTACCCAGTTTTCCACATAGTATAGCAACGCATGCATTTTCAGTGTTAAAATTTTAATGGAAACAAATAAAGCGTCCCATCCATGCACACATCATTCAAAAATCAACAAGAAAGGGCCTGACCTTGCTCCCACTAAAGTGAATAGCAGCCAAAGTCAACAATTTTAACAATTGTTATTTGGAACTCTTTGCCACTAGAGATTAGAGTTTGCAGATGTTTTTCTTTGTCATCAGAAATCAGAGTTTCCAGATGTTACAAGAAGTCTGTTCTAAAGAGCAACTATATTTGAACACAGGCCATAGTGCCTGGTTTCAAATATGCTCTTTTTTTCCTAAACACAACCTTTTAACACCAAGCAGAGGATCTGCCACTGCCAATTTGGAAATCTCTCCATCTCAGAACTAGGTCTGTTGCCCTTTTAAATGGAATATTTTGTTTGTTTTTCTTAATTGAATATGGACTCAAAGAAGTTCATGTTCAAATATGATGTTCCTTCAGAAACCTTCCCCTCCCCCCCCTCCCCCCAGGATGTTTTTTAAAAGGCTGGGCTTAAAAATATTACCTCTTTGAATGCAAGCTTCAGACAGTTCCTGGCCTGCCAACCTGGCAATCGGACTCACAGCAAATGGCTCACTTTTCAAGTAGTAGATCTGCACGACATAAAAAATATTTGTACATACTTGCATTGAAAAGTCTGCTATGAAAAAATGCTCGAACTGATACAAAAAGACAAAAGGGGGACAGAAAATAAGATAAAGACAAATGAGAGGATTTGATCAGGAACTGAAAAAGAAAAAAGTGCAAGAGACAGTAGGTGGGACTACTCAAGCAAGAATTAATTAGAAGGGGAAAGCTTCCCAGTTTCCCACAATAACTGGGAGAAGATGCTGTACTTCTCCTGCCTTAGCCATCACCTTTCATACTATGTTCCTGCCTAACATTTACAGTCAGCTGAGGCAGGTCTGTTCAGAGGGCCTGATCCAAAGCCACTGAAATTACTTTGGATTTAGTCACTCGGTTCAGTCAGGACTGGGCCAGTACAGGACTTTCTCCATCAAGAATTCCCACATAACAGAGGGGGTCTGCAGAATTACAGTGCTGGTTGCCTTTAGGGTATGCTGCAAATCCCAGTTTCTATCTGGCCATGCATTTGGGCGAGATGATTTTTTAAATATTGTTTTATATTTTAGGGCCCGTTCCTTCTAAGTATATCTTTACTCACAAGAGTAGCCTTATGGAACATTATGAAGCTACTGACAGACTGAAGTTCGCAGGAGCATGCTTTTAGTTTGGATTCTATCAAGCCTAGATACCTTTTCATAAGACCTATGAATAAAAATAAATAATTGGTAGCGCAGAAGGCTAGAGAATCGATTCCCTTTAAACAGTCAGTTATTTCCTAGTCAGCGATGTATTCTTCTTCTCTTTAATATATATCTTATGTGCTTTGCATTATTAATTACTGGACTCATTATGATGTACTATTTACCTCTACCTTCAGCTTCCAGACATCTGGATGGCTTCCCACTTCCCTGAAGCTGGAACTAAAGCTGCTCTGACCCAGAAACCATGAGCGAAGGCGTTGGTAAATGCGTTGCCCTACCCTCCACAGTGCAGGGGGACAGACTGAGGGGGCACTGGAAGTGAGTGAGGTCTAAGCCCAGCCGGGGGGGCTTGAGGTACAAAGCGCCCCTCTGAAGGGTGGAGGCGAGCTCTCACCCTGCGGCGCACTAGGGGAGGAACTGTCTCTCCGAGGCGATTCTCACAGCGCAGGGGCTGCTCTTTGGGCACAGGATCCCCACGGGGGATCGAGGCAGGGAGGTCATTTGAGGGGTGTGTCAGCGGGGCGAGCGAGGAGAGGCACTCCCCGGGGGCACGTCTCTCACTGCCACGGGGGTGGAGGGGTACAGGCATGCCAGGGCTCGTGTTTGGGGCCAACAGGAGAGCGAAGCAGAGAGGGAAGTCCCGTTAGCTGCCGGGAGGGCGCGTTAAACGGCAGCACACACAGCCACGCTTCCCCATCCCACTCCGGCGCGCAGTGGGGGCGGCTCCCTAGCAGCGCTGAGGCTGAGGCGGTGCGGCTCGGCGCATGCGCGAGGCGGTGACGCAGACAGGACGCATGCTCAATAGCTCGGAGGCGGTAGAAGCCAATGTTTTCCGGATGGTGGTGAGCTACCGGTCGGCCCCAGGCCGAGCGCGTCTCCTCATTGCGAGAGACCTGCTCAGCCGCTCGACTGCGGCTGCCCCGCAGCTCTGCTCCCGCGACGTGCCCTGGTCTCTGGTGGGCTCGAGAACCCGCCCAGCACTTCCATTCCCGCCTGTAACGATATAACGGGGGGGCGGGCGCTCCGCCATCCCCGGGCTTGTCAGGCGTGGGGAGGGGGCCGGCGGGTCTGGGGGCAGCGAGCTGCCTGTGCCTGGCTGGGGGCTCCCCTGTATGTTCCGGGGGGTGGACGGGACACCAGTGCAGCCTCCGTGTGGGTGGGGAGTGCCCCCTGGCCAGCTCCCCGCGGGGGCGGGTGGTTTGAGGGGTCGCGTTGGAGAGTGAGCGCCCTTGGCCAAAGGGTGCCATGCACACGTAAGATCCTCGCCCTTACGTCGGCGGCCGGCTGTGGTGGCGAGGGGGCTCGCTTTGCACGTGTTTCGCCGTCACCCCTGTGTAATATCGGCTATGGCGGCTGCTCTCCTGAAGCTGCTCCCCCTAGACCCAGGGGACGAAGGCACACAAAGATGCAGGATGGGACCTGCCACGTTATCCTCTCTGGGAGCCAGGCTCGGGTCCCCACTTAAGATCACGGTTCCTGGTGGCTGCTGTTTGTGCACCGCCTGGCCAAGAAATGATTTGGCTGATGGTTACCTGCAGCTTGATCTGAAATGCAAAACTTCAGGCTTAGCTGCAAGCAAGTTGAAAGGTCTCACCCTGAGTGTCAGTCACTTGAAGCTTTTGGCCTGCCACCGGTTGAGAAAAGTAACCGTGAAAGTGGTCCTTAAGAACCTTACTGTGAAAAAATCCACCCCAGAAGGAACACTACAGGAGACAGTCAAAGAGCTACTGAGAAATGTGTATGTTTCTCTTCACCATGTTGTTACTGCTTCCCCAGTTCCTGGAAATCCAGTGGTGTGTGTTGAAATACTGGCTGTAGATGCTTCGACAGAACAAGCTGGCCTGATAGCTCCCAAAACTAATATAAACATTAAGGAGGTAGTCACTTTAGAATGGTACAGACACTTGTCAAAGGACACTGCACAAATTTCAGTTGCAGGAATGGATGATTTGGGCAGCTCTTTGAAAGAGATGATTGTTTTGCCTTTACATTTTCCCAAAACCTTCAAGAAGTTGGGTCTTTCTGTCCGTAGTGGAGTACTGTTGGTGGGCCCTCCAGGTGTGGGGAAGACTCTTCTCGTAAAGGCAGTTGCAAGGGAAGTGGGGGCATATTTGCTTTTCATTAGTGGTCCAGCTATATATGGCTCAAGGCCTGGAGAAAGTGAAGAGAATTTGCGAAGAGTTTTTGAACAAGGCAGGGAATTGTCCACTGAGGGACCAACCATTCTCTTTATTGATGAAATTGACTCTTTATGCCCTAAACGGGGAAGTTCAAACAGCATCTCTGAAAATCGTATTGTTGCTCAATTGTTAACACTTATGGACGGCATAGGCAGTGAAAATGAGATGGTCATCATGGCAGCGACAAACAGGCCTGATGCCTTAGATCCTGCACTGAGGAGGCATGGTAGATTTGACCGAGAGGTGAGCATAGCCTGTTCCTCATGTTTTGTTCTAATGCTTTAATACCATTTATCTTTCTTCTATTGAAAAATCGCTGAAGAAGGGCCTAGTGATAGTGTTCTGCAGTGTCATGTCGGCTGATTGGGTTTGATGCCCTATTTCTCACTGTAGATAAGTGACCTACAAAGGAGAAGAAAGTTACCTTTTTGCTGCTTTATAATGATGCTTCGAGAGTTTTTTCCCCTTCTTGCTTTTTACATAATTGATTAAAGGTTATATTACTAAACATGAACTTAAACTGATGTAAGGCATTTAACTGTACCACAAAACATTTTGATAAAAAAAATTAGAATGGTACAAAATTAACATGGCACACATTAAAGGGATTAAACTGGCTAGCTGACAATTACATTATGAAACCTGTAAATGGGGAATCGTGGTCGATCAGGTTTATTTCTAGTGGGGTCTCACAGGGGTTGGTTCATGTTGTCACTGATAAAATTTGTAGCTGACATAAAAGTTGGGAGAATATAAATAATGCAGAGGACAGGTAATTGCTCTGGATTGCATGGTAAAATGGACACAAGCAAGCAGTACGAGGTTTTTCTAATACAGCCAAATGTAAAATTATATATCTAGGAATAAATAACCAGGGCCATGTTTACAGGATGGAGGACCCTATCTTGGGAAGCAGTAGCTGAAAAAGACTGGGGGTCATGGTAGATAATCAGCTGAACACAAACTCCCAGTGTGACAGTGGCCAAAAGGGTTAATGCAATCCTTTGATGTATAAACAGGAATATTGAATATAAATAGGGAAGTTATTTCTGTAATTGGCAGTGGTGCAACTCCTTGTGGAATACTGAAGTTTTGGTGTCCACAATTTCAGAAAGATGTTAATAAATTGGAAGGGGTTCAGAAAGGAGCTACCAGAATGATTAAAGGATTGGAAAATATGCTTTATAGTGATAAAGTCCAGTAGCTCAATCTTCTTATCTTAACAAAGTGAGGTTAAGAGGTGATTGCCATCTATAAGCTTCTACATGGCCCAAAAAAGGGGGGGGGCTCTTCTATCTAGGAGACAAGGGTATAAAATGATCCAGTGTCTGGAAATTGACTTTCAGACTGGAAGTAAGGCATACATTTTTAACAGTCAGGGTAATCATTGACACAACTTATCAAAATTTTTGTGGATTCTCCCATCACTGGAAATTTTTGGATCAAGATATGGACATTTTTCTGAATGAACTGCTTCAGTTCAAACATGAATTCAGGGAAGTCGTGTAAGAAGCCTGCGTTATACAGGAGGTTAGACTGAATGATCACAGTGGCTTTATAATCTGAATCTATACCCCGTTTTTCCAGGAAGTCTCAATGGACACCTGCTGAATTAGTAGTCCTATGATATCAGATGCCATGCAAATGAAACCTGATTAACTGAGGCTAGGTCTACACTCATTAACAAAATTGGTTATAGTTGTGAATTATTTTAACAACCTTTCTGTACTTGCAAAAACCCTAGTGTACGTGCAGTTATGCAGCATAAAAGTACTTTTGCTGTTCATCATTTTGCTTGTTGAACTGGTATAAGTTCTACTGCAAAAGTACTTTTTTGCCAGTATAAATTGTATCTAGACTAGGAGTTGTACCAGTAAATCTTCTAGTGTAGACCTGGCCGGGAGCAATGAGCTGAGCTGGCTGGTGGTAGCAAGAGCGGACAGTATTAGCAATGATGTATTAAGATAGACAAGACTAACTTCTGTCAGTGTGGCACCTTTCGTAAGCACTAAATCTACTTCTAAAATGTAAAAGTAGTACATTCTAGGGACTCTTTGGACTGTGCATAAAGTGGCGATGTTCAGGTACAACCATGGTAATTCACACACAAAATTGACACCTTTTGCCCCTCGCATGAAAGATTTAATAGCAGAGTGCTCTAGTGAGAGCTCATTTTAGTTAATGTACTAATTTGATTATTTTTACAAAATATATCACCTTTGCTTGTGTTTTAGGATCTCTCTCAGACATCAAATACTAACTTACAGTTGTCAAAATAAATTGACAAAAAATACAGTCAGCAAAGTGATGCATCCTTGTTTCCTTTATTGTCTGTCTGTGTACTCACTAAAACCTTGAACCTGCAACAAACTCGATGCAAGGGTCTATTCCAGGATCATGGCCTAATATCAGTAATTCAGAAAGATTATCCCAGTCAATTCAAATTTAATAAATTCTTCTGTACTGCATTCACACTTTTATCTAAATTTTCAGGATTGGACAGCATTATTAACAAGTGAAATACACAATTTTGATAATATTTTAGCAGGTTTTCAATAATTTATGCACATTCTCTACTCAGTTTTATAGTTATGGGCTTGTTGGTCCTTTTTTGTGCTACTCAATTACATTTTTGTGCAGTCATATTTTCTTTGTTTATTCCATGTGTTACTTAATTTTATAGCGTTTAGCTTTATTTAACAGGGCACAGAGTAATCGTTCTCCTTGGGTTTTTTTAATCTGATTTGTGTCCTGTACAGTTTTTAAATAGAAAAGTGTTATCACTAGGCTAGTGGTTCCCAAACTTGTTCCGCCGCTTGTGCAGGGAGAGCCCCTGGCGGACTGCGCCGGTTTGTTTACCTGCCACGTCCGCAGGTTTGGCCGATCTTGGCTCCCAGTGGCCGCGGTTCGCTGCTCCAGGCTAATGGGAGCTGCTGGAAGCAGCGTGGGCCAAGGGACCTACTGGCTGCCGCTTCCAGCAGCTCCCATTGGCCTGTAACAGCAAACCGTGGCCACTGGGAGCTGGGATCTGCCAAACCTGTGGACGCCGCAGGTAAACAAACCGGCCCGGCCCACCAGGGGCTTTCCCCGCACAAGCGGTGGAACAAGTTTGGGAACCACTGCACTAGGCTTTTGTGTTCTTATGTTGAAAGGAAATAATTATGTCACTGTTAAATCTTCTTTTGATTCATCTTTCAAATATGACTTTAGACACTAGGTGGCATTCTTTTATAAAACATCTATTTGTTGAAATGCTACTAACCTGGAAAATTAAATAAGTGTAAATGAAAAGTACTCATATAGTGCTTTATATTTTCAGAGTTATAGAGCCATTAATTAGTCCCTTGTGAAACAATGTGAAAAGAGGAGAATTTGCATGAGGGAGTCTAAGATACAGACAACACAAGTGACTTATCTAAGGCTAAAGAGTGAGAGAGAAATATAGCAAAACACTGATAAATTTCCATTTATTGTATTTATTTTAGGTTATCATTGGGACACCAACACTTAAACAGAGAAGGTCTATTCTACAGTTGATTACTTCTAATATGCCTATTTCCACTGATGTTGATTTGATTAACCTAGCAGAAATGACAACTGGATATGTTGGAGCTGATCTTACAGCACTCTGCAGAGAAGCTGCTATGCAGGCTGTCCTCCACAACTGTTTGGTAAGGAGTCAGATTAAACCAGAAAGATGTCATTATTCACATTTATCACTTTTTCCACACTAATATCACTCTACTTTAATATATAAAATGAATAATTCAGGGATGAGAATATTCAAATAATATTCAGATAAGCTAGAAAACATGTTATAGATGTAATTATAAGCTTTGCTTCTGTCTTTCAATCCAGTCATCAAGTGACTGCCATTTCCTTGAGTGAAAAGGTGATGTGGAATATCTTTATTCTCTCCATGAGCTTTTTAGTGTTGTACAAGGGAGAGAATGTAAGTTTTGTTTTGTTTTTAATTGAAGAGCAAATTGTATACATTTTTCCACCTAAGGTCTCTTCTATAAGCTACAGGCAATGTATATAAAATTCTGTTCCTTAATAAGGTGAGTGATTTAGTAGTTTGTGTTGTGGTTTGCACAAATAGAGACTTATTTTGTGTGTCTAATATTGCATGAACATATTGGCCAGAAGAGAATAGTTACAATTCCCTACTGTGCTGCAGTAATGTTTCTGGGATGTTGTAGATCTAGGTCTCAGGGAAGCATTATTTGTTAATCTTTCTTCCCCCTCAGTCAGGACTGCTAGGAGAAGGGGAGCAAAGGCTTTGATTGCTCCCTTGTTCATCAAGGTGGAGTGGAGGGGCAGAAAAGAAGTCAAGGAGTGCTTCTGTGAGATCGAGATCCAGAATATCTCTGGAATCGTAGAATCTATGGGAGATGCTGGAGCACTTTACCCTCCTCCCCAGGTGGTGATAACAGGGGAACATTTTATTTATAGAACCTCCATCACCATGTATCCTGTACAAAAACTGAAAATGATCATTAAAATAAAGTTGAGCCCAGTAGCCCTGACAGAAGCAGCCCTTCTGTCAAAAGATGGACAAAGAAAAAATAAACCAAATTGCTGACCTCTGTACTTTGTACGCTGCCAACTCCTCTGCAAAGTGCAGCTTATTAAGTTTTATTATGAAATCTGTAGACTTCAGCAAACATAATATAGGGGGTAGCTTGCCAGGCTGCAGGAAACTCTCCACTGGAGGGAAGGAAGAAGGTCCAATAGCTCGCAGACAGTGGGGTTTTTAGCCCTGTGCTGAATTTCTCCACTATGATGTGGAGAATACAGTGTCCCTCAGATTCATGCTCTGCCTGTAGAGCTGTATCTATCCAGCATTTTTCAAATGCAGCCACCAGCCACATATGGCCACCAGGGGCTTTTCTTGCCGCAAAGCAGTGGCCCCTCCCCTGAGACTGCCAGCAGGGGTTGGGTCCTGCTCCCTTCTGGAGAGAGAAATGCTGGAGGAGCAGGCTGCTTGTGAGTTCCCCACCTTCCCTGGTGTCCCATCCATTCCCCACTGCTGCTCCATTCGTTCTCCCCATTCCTCTGGCCCCCACTGCCACCGTACCCACCTACCTATTCAGGGCTTAATTTGTCCTGGGCTTGCCAGCGCTGAGTAAGTCTTCTGCTGTGAAAAGTGCTATTTGTATGTTTGTTAATATCACTTTTCACAGCAGCAGACTCACTAGCCAGAAAGTCTTTAAAAAAGCAACCCAAAGCACACAATAAACAAGAAGAAAAAAGACAAGAACATGTTTCTGTTCTGTTTAGTTCCAATAAAGAATAGAGACAAGTGTACATTATTTTTGTTATTGAGTCTGCAAAAAATCTCAACATAAATAAATTGGAATGATTTGGACATGTATATGTGTATATTTATTTCTGTCTTTCCTAAACTTAATTAGGAATTTTAGTTAAAATTTTAACAGCGGCCACCAGCAAGAGTTGGTGGCCGCACTCTGAGGCCACTAAAAAATTTGTCCTGAGAACCCCTGGCTATACTAACAAACTCGGTAACCCTAAGTCACCATTGATGGTAGCAACAATGGAAGCTACTAGTTGTGTAGACAGGACTCATGTGGGGCATTTTTAGGTGACATGGTAGGAAACACCTGAGTCCTGTCTACCTTAAAGCTTCTACCTCAGATGTCATTTGAGGAACTGCATTGGTGGTGAATTATGGCTAGAGTTTGCTAATGTAGACCAGAAGAATATGGAGAACATTGAACAATACCAGGGATCAGCCTGGCCTTTGATGAAATTTAGCATGAACTGAGGATGAAAAATAGATCCATAATCCAAGATCTTTGCAAGCCTGTATTCTATAGAAAGTTTGAGGTGAGGAGATATGTTGTGGTGGTTGGGACTACAAATTTACCCTAGTTGTGAGCTTAACTCTAAAAAGGACATGAAAATTCATAAGAGATCACAGTAGCCTATAACAATAAATTTTGATGGGAAAAGTTATGAATAGGAAACAGACGGAATTAGTCCAAACAAAAAGGCCTACTAATAGAACTCAAGGACTGTATTAAGATCATGCTTAGTAAACAAGAAAAGTATGAAACCAGAAATCAACAGACCAGAATTGGTATGTCAGAAAGTAGGCCTAATTGGTGGACAAAATAATGAATGGATGGGCTATTTTCCACACAGTTTCCTTTGTGGGTCTTTAAAGAAAGAGACTTTGTGAAGAATAATTAGTTACTAGAACAAGCTTCACCATAATGGCTATCATCCCTATTATTTCCTGGGACCCTGATCTGGGCCAGAGAGAGGGACCCATATGCCATCATCACCTCTATCAACTCCAGCTGAATCCCAGATGCGATGGTGGGATCCAACTTCAAGAACAGCAGCTCCAGCCCATCTCAACTAACTTCTGTTTTCCCCAAAAGGACAGTTATTGCCATCTTTGATATCATCTAAAAGACTGTCAAAAAAGGGTATTCTCCATCTGAAGACTTTCTCCAGCTAAAAGTAAAGGGAGCAAGAGATGCTGTTAAAATGAAAGCCTTATGTAATATTTTACATTTCAAATGCTTTAACTGTTTTTCCTTTCTTTTGTTAAGGGTTAAAAGGATTTTTAATGGAGTATGTGCCAGGGTACTAAACAGGCTGAGGTCTATGTATAGCAAACCCCAGACCTTATTTAACACTGTTTAATGTTGGACAGTGACTGGGTTATGTTAATGCCTTTGGCCCATATAGTCGATCTAAATGCATTCTGCTGTATTTACTGGAACAGGTACGTGAGTAAATGGGGACCATTGTCTCATATTTGAGAGAGAACTAGGAATCCTGTATGTAGTGACCCTAAACCCTGGGTTTATCAGCAGCTTCCCTCACTAGAGTCCCATATGGTGGAAGTAGAGTAGATTCAGGAGAAAATCAAAGATACTCTCTCAAACATCAGTTTCTTACAGAAGTGTCCAGCCCTGTGCCATAACAAAAAATGTATCCAGCCACAATGAATGCACACTATTTTATTGGTACGTGTTTGTACTTGTCTGTCATACATAAACTCTTTAGTATAGGGGTTCTCTTCTTTGTCAGTTACATTTGACAAATTGTAAAATGCTGTGGACATCTAATGGAGCTATGTAAATTATTAATAATGCAAAGGAGAAACAGTGCTTTCCTTTTGTATTTGTTCTTTGTGTATTTCTTCAGGATTCAGTTCACATGTTGATTAACCTGGCAGACTTCCATGAAGCTTTTAAAAAAATTCAGCCATCTTCCTTTCGAAGCAGTGTTGGACTAACTGACTTTAAACCCGTTACATGGGAACAAATTGGTGGTCTTGAAGATGTAAAATTAAAGTTAAAACAGGTAGAGTGCAGAATACATTTAAACAAAACTATAATTTCTCCCGTCTACCTCAAACTGTTCTATATGGTGCAGTATTGAAAAGTGTTCTTATGGGAATTGCATCGGTCTTTAATTCATATTTAAAATTTTATTCCTAACTACTTTAAAATATTAAAACACATTTTTGTATTTTCTTAAATCAAACTAAAATTGCCTATACACAGGCTCTAGCACTTTGTGTAGTTAAATTTACAATCTCAAAATATCACCCAGGAGCATACCATAGCAAATTAACACATCAGCCAGTAGAGGGCAGTTACTGCTTCAGCATATGCCCATCTCATTCCAACTACCCTCAACCCTTTAGGGCAGTGGTGGGCAAACTACGGCCTGGGCGACCCTCCTGCCCAGCCCCTGAGCTCCTGGCCAAGGAGGCTAGCCTCCAGCCCCTCCCCTGCTATTCCCCCTCCCCCGCAGCCTCAGCTCACTGCGCTGCCGGCGCAATGCTCTGGATGGCAGCGCAACTGCAGAGCCGCAGCCTGACCCGTTGCTCTGTGCTGCGCGGTGGGGTGGCTGGCTCCAGCCAGGTGGCGCGGCTGCCTGTCCTGGTGCTCTGGGTGGCAGGGCTGCAGCACCGCCAGCCACCGGTGCTCCAGGCAGGGGAGTTGGATAGAGGGCAGGGGAGTCTGGGGTGGTAGTCAGGGGACGGGGTGTGGATGGGGTCAGGGCAGTCAGAGGGCGGGGAACAGGGGGGGTTGAATGGGAGCGGCGTCCTGGGGAGGCAGCCAGGAAGGAGGGGGGGTTGGATGTGGTGGCGGGGGGCAGTCAGGGGCAGGGGTTCCGGGGGCAGTCAGGGGACAGGGAAAAGGAGGGGTTTGGATGGGGCAGGAGTCCCAGGGGGGCAGTCAGGAATGAGAGGAGGGGTTGGATGGAGCAGTGGGAGGTAGTTAGGGGCAGGGGGCCCAGGGGCAGTCAGGAGACAGGAAGAGTGGGGTGTGGATGGGGAAGGAGTCCTAGGGGAGCCGTCGGGGATGGGGGGTGGGGTTGGATGGGGCAGGAGTCCTAGGGGGGCTGTCAGGGGGCAAGAAGCAGGGGAGATCGGATAGCGGGCAGGGGCCGGGCCGCGCCTGGCTGTTTGGGGAGACACAGCCACCCCTAACTGGCCCTCCATACAATTTTGGAAACCCGATGTGGCCCTCAGGCCAAAAAGTTTGCCAGCCCCTGCTTTAGAATCTATACATTTTGGCTATTTCAGACTAAAGGGGAAGTGAGTTCTAGTCAACCAATGTGCCCTCTCAGAGAATGCCCTACCCACTGCCTTATCTCTTTTATAACAAAGAGGGTCAAATTGGAGTATGTCCATTGACCTCCACTGTGATTATGCCACAAGGTAAAGGGCTGTAGTGTATCCAATAGTTTTACTGGCTAATGTGTCAGTAGATACATCACTGCAAATGTTTCATCCTTTCTGTATTTACAGAGTATTGAGTGGCCTATGAAGTTTCCTCAGGCTTTTTTGAGAATGGGACTGTGTCAGCCAAAGGGTATTCTCCTATATGGGCCACCAGGATGTGCCAAAACCACTCTGGTGAAGGCTGTGGCCACAAGCTGCCATTGTTCCTTTCTTTCTGTTAGTGGTGCTGACCTTTTTTCACCTTACGTTGGAGATTCAGAGAAGATTTTGTCTCAGGTTTGGTTTTTAATCACATATGATGTATAATTTGCTTATTTTTGTATAAAGTATTCATCACTCCTATAAAAAGAAAAGGAGTACTTGTGGCACCTTAGAGACTAACCAATTTATTTGTGCATAAGCTTTCGTGAGCTACAGTTCACTTCACAAGTACCCCTTTTCTTTTTGCGAATGCAGACTAACACGGCTGTTACTCTGAGTTACCATCACTCCTATGTTTTTGCTTTTTAAGACTTTGAGGGCTGATTCTCATCTGGTGTAAACGGATACAGCTCAATTGACTTCAGAAGAGCTATTGCCATTTACGTCAACTGAGCATATGTCCCTAAGTTATTTTTCAAACTCATTTCTTTAATCTACCTATTATGTATGGCTTTTTGTTCTTTGGTTTACCTTAGTATTAGGTTAGGCACCTAGAGTCTGCTATACAGTAAATGTAAACCAGATTGGTCTCCACTGAGTGTTGTAAATAAATACTTATTTAAAGTGAATTAGTTAAGTAAAAGTATAGAAAATATATAACAAGTGATTTCAGTTGACATGGTGGAGCTTATACATGCATTACAACATTTTAAATTTATTTTACGAACCCAATAAAAGGTTTTTCGCCAAGCAAGAGCACATACTCCAGCAATAATATTCCTGGATGAGATTGATTCTATGCTAGGATCTCGATCAGCCTGCAAAACTGGACATGGTGCCCCAGAGAAGGTTCTTTCTGTCCTTCTTAATGAATTAGATGGTGTTGGCGTTAAAGTCACAGAGAGAAGAGGAAATAAATTACAGCTTGAAGGTGATCGTCAAGAACAAAACGAAAAGGAGAGACAGGTATGTACACTCTCATATATAGGAAGAAGGGTAGATTTTATTGCTAAAGTGCTCCAGAAGTTTAAACCATTGGCTTTCACAGATTAAAACATTACCTTTCTGCTGCCTTTGTCAGCTTCTTGATAGTACCCAATATTTTCTTTTACATACAACATTGGGCATAGCTAACATGCTCCTGCTATGCTGTTAAAATGGATTTCAAGGTGGTGAAATTACATCCTCACCCCCATTCTGGCATACTGAAGAACCCTCCATCACCATCTTACATCATCTCTGCACTCAGTCTGACACACGCAATCTTGCTAGACTCTGACCACAAGAAAGTTCCATATGCATTACCAGAATGGATATTGATTCTTCTTCATTGTATTACATATTGGTATATTGGCCTACACAAAGTAGAAAGGTTTGTAGTGAAAAGGAATATGACTACATATGGATATGTGCATTTATTCATTGTATTGCCTCTCTTTTTCTCCTCTTAGTTGACACTTACAAATTATACTTGTCCTGTAGCCCAAAGCATATAAAACACTGTATACCCATCTAATTTGCTGCATATATAATCTCATTAAGCTAGAGTTTCAAGAAGTTTTGAACAAAGATGTCATGATAGTTGCTGCAACAAATAGACCAGACAAGTTGGATGATGCCTTGTTGCGCCCTGGAAGGTTAGACAAGATCATCTATATTCCCCCTCCAGATCAGAAGGTAATGCATTATAAATCTGTACACAAATTTAAGTAGAGGTGTGAAGTTGTAGGTATACTATTTCTTAACAACAACAAAAAGAGTTATAGTACTATAATGTATGTAAGAGTGGGTAACGGTTTGCACTGAAGATTAACTACTAAATGTCCAGCTTTTAAAATAAATATGAAAGCAGCCTGGATTATAAAATAGCATTTAAATGTATATTAAAAACGTACACCCTTCAGACACTCTGACCAAGGCACAGGCATATCTGGCACTTCCTGACTTTTGAATGCTTGATGATGATATATTTGCAAAATCAAGCATTCAGAAATTAGGAAGTGCCAGAACTGCCTGTGCGTAGGTCAGTTAAATTGCAGTAACTCCTCACTTAAAGTCATCCCAGTTAACGTTGTTACATTGTTAGCTTGCTGATCAATTAGAGAATATGCTCGTTTCAAGTTGCACAATGCTCCCTTATTATGTTATTTGGCTGCTGCCTACTTTGTCCACTGCTTACAGAAAGAGCAGCCCGTTGGAGCTGGTGGGGGCTCGGAACCAGGGTGGTCCGCCAGCCCTCCTATCAGCTCCCCTAAGTTCCCTGTGCGCAGTTACTGGGCAGTTCAGGTGTCCCTCCCCCCACTGCCATGTGCTGCTCCTGCCCTCTGCCTTGGAGCTCCTACCAGGAGCCGCCTTCTTGCTATGCAGGGGGGGTAGAGAAGAGGGGTGCTAATGTCAGGGTGTCCCCCTGCTCCTGCCCCCCCCCCGCTCCTGTACCCGCATCTCCATGGAGCAGGGGGACACACACCACAGGGCTCAGGATAGAAGGAGCTTGCTGGCAGCAGCTGCTGTCGCAACTTTCCTGATCTACTTAAAAAGGCAGTGAACTTAGAGAGGGGTCAGTCTACTTAAAGGGGTAATGTGAGTCTCTCTCTCTCTCTCTTTCTCACACACACAAACACATAGTGTATGTCTCTGCCATGCTGTCTCACCTCCCTCCATTCATGCTGCCCTGTAGAGAGGGCTCAGCTGAGTGCTAGTTCATCATTTAGCAGTAAGGCATTCCCTGGGAAATATCCCACCCTCTTCCACCCTCTGAATTCACCACCTCAGTCAAGCTTCACAATCATCATTGCTGTGTACAATATTAAATTGTTTAACACTTTACTCTGTCTCTGTGTGTGTGTGTGTGTGTGTGTGTATAAAATATAGTTTTGTCTGGCAAAAAAATATTCCCTGGAACCTAACCTCCCACTTTTTACATTAATTCTTATGGGGAAATTGGATTTGCTTAACTTTGTTTCGCTTAAAGTAGCATCTTTCAGGAACATAACTACAACGTTAAGCGAGGAGTTACTGTACTAGCCTTGTTCTTGGAAACTGAACTGTTTCTCTGAAACTTGCTAGAAAAAGTCAGCCTGAAGCAGAGGGCAAACATGGAATATTTCAGTCCAAAAGGTTAAATGTGGGTAAAGGTGTAAGCAATTGAAGAAAGTGACTTAGAATGGAAAGTATTAGACAACCTTAACTATAAGCATTGCTGAGAGATCGGCTTATAGTATTGCCAACTCCTTACTAAAAAAAAAAAAAAAACACCAACAGCCAACATAGCATGGATAGGTTTCAGAGTAGCAGCCATGTTAGTCTGTATCCGTAAAAAGAAAAGGAGGACTTGTGGCACCATAGAGACTGACGCATTTATTAGAGCATAAACTTTCGTGAGCTACAGCTCACTTCATCGGATGCATCTGATGAAGTGAGCTGTAGCTCACGAAAGCTTATGCTCTAATAAATGTGTCAGTCTCTATGGTACCACAAGTCCTCCTTTTCTTTTTATAGCATAGATAGTTGAGCATTCTACATTCTTTTGTGGTTTTCTTTGTCTTGCATTCTAGTTCTTCAGATAGCCTATACCAGCTTAGGGGCGGGAGCACAAAGGTACAAAAGAAAACCAAAAAAAAAAAAAAAGGGCAGCAAGATCCAGTGATTCATGATTTTAAGAAATCGTGAGATGATGTAAAAATTGTTGGAATTAGTGAGGATATTGCTGGAAAACTATATCTTAGTGTCCTACAGACCAGTAAGATACCTGGCAACCCAACTAGATTTTCATTCAAACTGCTAGCGTTCAGAATTCAAGTCAAGTCTGATTATTGATTATTCATTATTGATTATACATTATTGAGCTTTGCCAGTAAATATTTTCAACTGCTGTCTTACTGTCCACCTTCAATGCATCGTATGATTACTCTGTGGTAAACTGAGTTTTTGTTTCTTGGCAGTTATTGATCACAAGCAGAATATTGTGGGGTGTTACTGTACTGTAGTATATTTGAGTTTAGAACTTGCAGAGTAAAGTACTAGTCAACATGAGTAAAGGTGGCAGAAAATAGGCCTAAACAAATAGTACATAAGTGACTGTCCTTTGTCTTTTGTAATGTGCTTGTATCATAGGGAAGGCTTTCTATTTTGAAAATTTGCACAGAAAAAATCCCAATAGATTCTGATGTGTCATTAGAATACCTAGCAGCTCAAACCAAACTCTTTTCTGGAGCCGATATTGAAAATCTCTGCAAGGAGGTAAGGAGCTTTTTGTTTAATCAGTGAAGTAAGCTATGAGTGAATACTTTAGATGGAGAGAGGCCAAATTATAGAATATTCTAAGACATTTGTACTTTTCCTCAATTTTTAATGAAAAGGGTAAGACAGATGTGAAAAATTTTATACCAGCTGAGTGAAAAACATATGTTGTACCAGTAAAATACACCCAGTAAATAAGGGACCTGCTAGTACTGACGTTGAACTAGGTGCAAATTTAGAATAAATTGTTCCTGTGGAGGCATCCAAAAGAAGCAGATAGTTTGTGGAGCCTGGAAACTCTCCCTGCAGCAGATGGTATGGAGAAGGCAGATGATGCAACTTTACTAACTTAGATTTTTGGGAAGGAGGGTAAATCCAGTCCTGCAGAAAGATAGTTCTAATCCCTCTCTTCCTGTCAAGAGCTCCCATCCTTGGACAAACACACAGTGCTCAAAAACACCTTCAAATAATGCAAGTAAGGAGCCTAAATTATTTCTGTTTAGTAGAAACAACCTAGGCACATATCCAGTGTGTAGGGAGATGAGCACGCTGTGAGGAGTGCCTTCTCTTCCTGTATTCCAGACCTGCCCCTCCAAAAATCAGAGAGCATCTTGGGAGCATGCTACCAAAGTGGCTCTGCCCCTCTTACCTGCATTTACCAGAATCTGCTGGGTTCTGTTTACTCTCTCATTGAAGCAGAGGGAGCATTTAAAAGAGTGAATGATAAGCAACATGGGTTAATTTACAAAAAAAATAAAATGATGCCAAACAAACCTGATGGATTTCTTTGACAAAATTTACAGGTTAGTTGGAGTAAGGGACTACTCTAGTACTTGCTCCAGAACTTACCCTCTTGCTTTCCTTTTCAAAGCCTTACTTAAAATCCAGATAAATTGTTTCCTTGTACTACACATTATAGAATTTATTGCTGAAATTAACATTGATAAATCAGGAAGAAAAAGCCTAGGGCAAGAGAGATGTGTCCACAAATACTTGAGGAAGGGGGAGATTAGATAGAACATCTGAAGAATTAAGTGACCAAGGATATGTCTTCTATCCCAATCAACTAGATGCAGTGAGTGAAAAAGTATTAACTGAATTTGGAATAGAAGAATAGAGAAGGCAAACTAACATTTGTATTATCTGATAAATTGACTTCATGTAATGTACACCTATTGTTTTTTTTTATCTTGAATCATACAGTACTGTGTCGAAACACTGGACATAAAGTTCATTTTTATTTTTAAGTTTTGAAAAGATAGATTTGTAACGTCGGAGCTCCTGATAAAGCTGAAAACATTTCAAATTCTCTAAATCGTGTGTTTTTTGTTTGTATTTTTTTAAGGCTGCTTTGCAGGCATTACAAGAGAATGGACTTGAAGCAACTTGTGTGAAACATGAGCATTTTGTAAAATCACTGAAGATTGTAAAACCATCATTAACCCTCACAGATTTGGATTTTTATGAAAAATTATTTAATAAGGAAGTATCCTCTTAAATCAGAAAAATCTGAAGAATGATATGCAAAAATTGGTGGGTTTTTTTAATATAATCTTTTAGAAATGCATGATTTTTTATAACAATTCTTCTAAAATTGTTATTAAAAAACAAAGGGCAGAAAAGTTTTATAGTACCCATTTTTCCTTCCTTACAGTATAGAAAGAAGGATTGAAAGGCTTTATATATATTCATTCTGCTGGTTTTTGACATAGAAGTATTAAGCATGGTCTTCCATGGGACCTTCTACCTCCGAGTCCCAGTCAGTCAGCACTTCTGTGAGCCAGAATGCGATTCTTAAGACCAGTACCAGTAAGAGGTCTGACACAGTCAAAGGGGCCATCCACAACAGCCAGAAATCTTTGAGGATTTGCACTGTATATTGAAAGCTGCCTTTAACTGAAGGCACAAGGGTATTAAATCTTTAATGAAGATTTGTTTTCTCCAAACCATTGAATGATTGAATTAAGTAGGTGTTAACAAAATTAAATTTTTAAAGTCTGAATAAAAGTCACTTCTCAGTAAGATTTTTACTACTTTTATACTGTAATATTGTCATGATCCTACTAGCTCCCAGTGGTCCACAGAATATTCTAAACTAGACAAGAACTAAATATCTAGTGCAAAGAAGAAAACGCTTAGAAAAAATGACCTTTCATGCCACATTTATACTTTATAAAGAAATTAAAAGGGGCATAAATGACTTTTTTTCTCATGCTGTTCACCTTTTACACAAGGCTATATTTGCAATAATCATTTGAAGCATAGATTTTTCCCTATGGATTGCAACTTTCATTATATTGTGTGTGTACTGCTTTTTAATATTGAATTATAATTTTCTGGTTTTGTATGTAATATAGCAAATTTTTACTTGTTCTAGATTACAAAAATCTTTCATGTTAAAGGAAAAATAAAAGTTAAAATCTTGTTTGCATTAAATATAAGTCTTTTAAAAGTACTGAATTTTTCAGACAGCATTCTTCTGATTAAGGCCTGTTATTGATATAAACTAAACTTGAGTGGCAGAGACTTGCTTAATTTTTGGGTCCCTTGCACTGTAGTTATTACATACTTTTCCTCATAGCTGATTGATTTGGACTACGCTTTTATTCTGAATTGTAAGCCAAGCCTTTCACAAACCAAAAAAGTCTTTATCCAGTAATAAGTTCTATCCTGCATCAAAGTCTTTTTCTTAGGGCTTATCTGAAAATTTATCAAAATTGAATTTCCAAGTGTAGATGAGCCCTTAGAATAAAACTGTAAGATATATATTAGGCTGCCACAGACTTGCTTTGGTTTCAAGCAGTATATGTTCAACTCCTATAAGGACTCCTTTCCTGTTGTCCCTCAGCTCCCAAAATCAGATTGACAGTGCAGTGGATATGTACTATGGTTATGAATACTGTAGGAACTGCTACATCTTGATCTATGAATACTGATATGCAATAATGGTATGAACAATGTATATCTGACTAGGTCAGTGAGGGGATGATTTTTTTGTACTGGGTTATAAGACTGCCCTGTCTGAAAGCATTGTGCTAATTTGCACTGGTCTTAGTAGAATGTTTTATATGCCTATAATGCTGGAATTCAATGGGAACTGTACAGGACTGCAATACAATGACTTCCCAGATAAGAATACCTACATACACACTAAAAGGACAGTTGAGGCCAGGTGTTAGACATAGGGATCCTACATTTAGTCTCCAACATGCCGTAAATCTTGTTTTGCCAGGCTGGGAACTAGAGATCAAAAGTTTAGTGTTAAAAAGCTTGTGTGGGCAGGGGGGTTGACTTATCAGCGAGCTGTCTAAGCAGACAAGCTGTATAGAGCAACCAAGGAAGGAAGGAGCCCAGAGGAATTGGGGATTCTGAGATTCACAGAATGGTAAGCATTAAGAGAAAATAGGCATGGACTTTATTCTGATTTATAATTTTTAAAATGTTTAATCTGAAATGGTTTTGGTCTAAATAAATTATACTTTGCTTTAAAGAAGCTGATTGGTCACTAATTATCACTGTCATTGCCCCAGAGGGAATAGAACGGCAGCCGAAGTCAGACCTAAGGTGATCACAGTTGATACAGAGGTTACTGCCACCTAGCACCTGGTCTGAGAATAGGAGAGAAACATGATTTCACCCCAAGAAAAAGAGAATTGCCTGAGGCCCAGAGGGGGTGTACTCAAAAAGTTCAAAGTGTATGAGGTGTAGTTAGCCTGGTAATCCTGATACAGATCATTCTCACAAACAAGTTGCAAGAAATAGTTCTACTGATTAGTGTCAGTTAGAATCTGGGGAGGCTAAATAGATATCTTGGTGTAAGAGGAAAAACCTTGGGGGTGACTATTATCTGAACTGACTTACTTTCACCCTTTAATCCATTTCCCAGATTATTTGCAGAAGTCACTGTCAGACAAATATTGCATCTCTACAAGATAGTCCAATACGTCTGGACCTCAGATAAATTACGATTTCAATCCTCTATAACATGAAACAGTGGGACAGTTAAGGATTTTTAATTTATATCCATACTTAAAGGTCTGTTCTGGCTTTTGGATACAAGATCTTCAGAAGTAAAAGGCTTTTCTATAATTTAAAAAAATGAATACTGCGAAGTGCCAGAGGATCCTGAGGACAAAATGCTTGTATTAATAAAGTATATTAAGTGCCATTGACTTAGGGAACTGTGAGCCCTAAAGTCATGTGTACGTTCCTTGCAATCTGCAAATATATATACATGCATCATATAACTTGTATAGTATTTTTAGCAGTAGGCGTGCCAGAAGCACTTTTGGGTATTGTAGGTATACAGCATCACTGAAATGAAGCTGCCATTTGGTGGTCTGTCTATTTTTGTGAATTTGGAAACCCATTTTGTCCAAAAGAATTTATCATCTGTTGTTGGATTAGTAGTGAAACACAGAGATACCACTACAAGCACAAACCTATTTAAACAAGACAGTCCAAAGGTAAGTGGTAATTGGTGCTGTGGGGAAGAGTAGTGTTTTTACTGACAATCTTTTTGCAGTCTGAATTTTGTCAGTCAATCCCCAATTTTCCTCCTACATTCCATCATCCTTTATGCATTTGCATTGTAATTGGAAATGTTTGTTAAAAATACACTGATATCTGGAAGGGCATGATTAAATATTTTTACAAGTGACTCTTTGTTTCTGCTTTTAACTTGGCAGGCAAGAGGTTTAGAAATGTAATCTTGTTTCTGTCAGGGGAAAGCTTTTGGACTGTTCTCCTGTAGGTGATGCGAAGAAACTCAAGTAAAATACAAAACCTAAGGTTAAAATTCAGAATGGGGCATTGTTTTCTTTTTTTCCTATTGTGTATAATAAGAAACCCCCCAAGCAGGTCCCCTAAATAGCGTTACCCCAGATTGTGGCTGGAGTGAGATCACTGGGCGTTGAAGATTCCATGGCAGTTGGAGACAACTACTGTGAAGAGAACAGCTGGCCACAAGTTGGAACCCATTACTGTGTGAGAAAGGGGGTGGATTATAAATTACTGTCATAATTTGTTAGCTATGCTGCTGCTGCCACCCACCTCCACATTACAAAGGAGTAGCCTGATGTTCTTAGTGTTGCTGGCACCCAGAAGTGTTACCATTTTTCTGCAGGGGTCCCTAAACCCCTAGGACTGCTGTTGAGGGCCTATGGTGATGAGACATAGAGGTGAGAGTTAGGAGACTAATCCTTGCTGCTTTTTGAACTTTGAGATTACATCTTTAGAAGGAACTAGAGTTGAAAGCTTGCTGGTTGAGGGGACGAATAGGCCAGTGATTGCATCCAGCCCGCTTACAATTATACAGGAACCCACAAACCCAGCTGAGTGTCAGAAACTGATTCAACAACTTGCTGACTCGGCGTTGCTATGTAAGTAGCATCTGGGATCGGGACACAGATGTGAAAGAGTAAATGGTTATATTAATTTAGTGGATGTCTTTGCCATGGTGGTTCGCTGCTCAGCATTCTCTGTTCCTACGTGTGGGATTTCCCCATTCCCTTTACCCTACTAAGCTTTTGGAGAACAATGCCCATAATGGCATGAGAGCCCCCGGGGAGAACTGAATGTTTGAAGCCAAGATTTTAGAAGATGTGTCCAGTCCCAAATGCCCCCTTCTCAGTGACTGAAGCAATTTCTGGGATTTGTGAGGTAAAACTCCTTACATTTCTAGTGTTTTTTAATCAATACTATTGTATGTTTTGCCTTTGTTACCCCCACATTCTTCATGGAGCTAGGGTCCTGCCTGGTACAACCTGAGTGAGCTTCAGAATATTGGAGTTATGCTTAAACTTTAAAATAGGGATGAATGATGTTGCTGGTACAAGAAGCTGGGGAGATGGCCTTAGAAAGAACACGTAGGGTAAGGTGGGTCAGGGGTGAGCTTGAAGCACTATCTCAAGAAAATTAATTTTCCTAACTACTTCCCCCCCTCCCTTGCCTTTTTGGCTGTATGCGTGTCAAGTGCTGCGCCTTATGCTGCTTTTCGTCATGTGGATACACATCCAGTGGGGGACCAAACTCAATTCCCACAGGTTACTGAACACCTATCAGTGGTAACAGTATCCAGTCATGGCAAACGTGTCTTTGATCAAGCCATGAATTAGGGTGAATGGGTCTGTATTTCATTTTCCATTCGAGCCACCCACCCAGGCCTTTTGTTCCATTATTAATATTGGCTAACTAGTCAACCTCCCCATGCAGTAGCCCAACCCCAGCCTCCTGCTCAGTGTTGGTGCACCACTTGCTGCCCTCAGGCACGGACAGTCCTAGCAAGAGGCCAGCAACTGGTGCCCATACTTTAAACTGTGTTTGTGAATCATCTCTGCAACGAATCTGTAATTCTGGGGAGGGCGTGCAAGGAGCAAGCTGGGCTTTCCCTAGATCCTCCTACTAGCTGCCAGGGGCGACTTGGAGGGAAACGGAGCTCCTGTTCTTCCCGCTCACCGCTGGGGCTTTGCGGCGCAGCACGTGTAGCGGCGGGGAGGAGAAACGCGCGGAAGGAGGAGGCTGTCAGCCCAGCTGCCTCGCACCTGCCACCCCTCCCCGAGCAGCAGCTGCCTCCTGCGAAGGGTAACGGGGGAGCACGGGAGGTGGGCAGAGAGTAGGCCCAGTCAGACACGCTGGGTGAGGGAGCCAAAGGGGGCAATTAGGAGAAGCGAGAGGGAGGGGCCCAGGCGCGGGGAGGGAGTATGGGCAGAGGGCGCGGCAACCCTGCCTGTCAGCGAGCCACCGGGAAGTGAGCGGCAGGGGAGAGAGCTGCCCCTCAGCCCTCGGCAGCTGCCCGGCTCTTCCACAGCACAGCCCTGCAGCTGACAGCCCCCTACACACCCATACACCACCCCCGTGCCCGAGCCACACACACCCCCCAAAATACCCCCGCGGAGCCACCCCAGTTACACCATCCCCACCCCATGGAGCCATCCCCCCCCGGAGGAGCCACCCCCCTTACACCTCCCACTCCCTCTATCCCCACCCCTCCTTATACCATCCCCCTTCTCCCCCAGAGGAGCCACCCCCCTTACACTGCCCCCTCTCCCTGCTGATCCACCCCCCCTTACCCCACTCCCTCTATCCACACCTCGGGGAGCCACCCCTCCTAATACACCCCGGCCTTCCCCATCCTAGGCAGCCAAGGGTGCACACACGTCCCTTCCCCGCCGCCCCATGCAGCTCTTCCCGGCCCTCCACAACCTCTGCCCTTCTCCAGGCCACGCAGCCAATCCCCCTTTCCTTATTCCGTCCCTCTGTGCAGCCCCCGGGTACGCGCACACCCGCCGCGCCCCCTACTCCCTACGCAGCCACCCCCTCCCCCAGGTCCGCTACTCCTTCTTCACCCCATACAGCCAACACGTCCCCTCCCCCCCCCGCTCCTTCTGCACCCCGTGCAACCAACCCCCCCCTCCTTCTCCTTCTGCACCCGATGCGGCCAACCCCGCCCCCTACTCCTGCACCCCACGCCGCCAGCCTTTCTGGAACCTAACCCTCGCTCTGCCTGCCTCCAACCTGCAAGCACAACTCTGCAGCGCTCTGGAGCCCGGGTCCCCACGTATTCCCGCAGGGGGAGACGCTGCCTCATGCTGCCGGTTTTGCAGAGACAGGAGACCGCAAGGGGAAGTTGTGCATCAGTCTGTACGACCTCCGCACTGGGCTACGTGACTTGGGACACAGCCAGCCTCCTGGGGTGTGCGCAGTGCTATATAAGAGACTGGACGCCTCCCCAAGCTAAGGCTGTGTCTGCAGTGCAACTTCTGCCCTCTCCTCCAGGCCAGGTAAATGCAGGCTCCCTTGCCTCTAGCGGCAGAGTGTATCTGGGATAGTGGATTAGTGGTGATAGGCGATTATGTAGCAAGTGTGTAATAACCTCTGCCAGTTATGGTACCTAAATTGCCTCACTGATGAGATTGTAACTGGACACCCTTTATTTCAGGTCTACAGCTGCCGCTATGGCCAACCTGGGCTTTTTCCAAATGCTAAGGAAAAACAAAGAAGTAAGTTTGCAAAAGAGCTTTGCCCTAAGATGATCCGATCTGCCTTCCTGGCACTGATGAAGAGTCCTATGAACAAGTGCATGTTGAAGAGGTTACATTAAAACGTGACATTTGCCAAATTAATAAAATGCACTTTCAAAAATAAAATGATGAATGCCCAGAAGTTGAAGACACAGTGGAAGTGAGATGGTGCGATCGGCATCTATGTTACGCCTTTCTTTGCGGGTGGTTTCACTTTCTTTAAAGCTTTGTAATTCATGTCTCCAGCGTGTATGGACCACCAAGAGAGACATCTTGTGCTTGAAAGTCTTGTCTTCTAACTTTTTGTCTTTCAGCTCATTCCTTTGGTTGGTTTCGTGGGCTTCGCAGCAGTTGGGGCTCTAAGTGCTTCTCTGTATTTCCTACGCACGAAAAGTGATGTGATGTAAGCATAACCCATTTGGTATTTCTCTGAGTTATGTGCTTGGTATTGAGTTTTCTTTGCTAAACAGATACACCTCATTGACTTCAGGGTATCAGAGTGGGGAGGGGAGAATTAGGGAAGATCTGAAACTCAGAAGATTTTTTAAATTAATGTCTTTATTTTACAGATAATTAATTCTCCTATTATATTTTTGTAAAGAACTTACTCCAGTCTTTATTCCCCAAACTGGATTAAGCTTTGAATTGGTTGCTCAGAAAATTTTTTTTGTCTTCACTATAAATGTAGTTTGAGCTAAAATGTTCTTGTGCAAAGTTCTAAATAGTGAATTCAAAGAGCATTTAATATGTCTCAGAGGAATGTGTTGAAAAGGAATCATTTTTACAACATATATGTCTTTTTACATTTTTTCTTCTGAGACAGAGGTACACAGATCATAATATGTCATTTCCAG